AAACCTCTTTATAATATGCTTACTTCCTTGTGCCTTCTGACCTGTTCCTTAATACTCTGAGAAGGCAGTTCTGGCATTTCTACATCATTGTCATGTTCAACCTTCAAGGCACCATCTTAGCAGTGTGTTGGGACAAGCTCCAGGTGTCCTTGACAGGATGTTAAACCCTGAGTCATGTTATATGTTCTAATAAACTCTCCCCTATTCAGCCTTGTATCTCACTCACCTTATTTTATTTAACACCTTCAAATCTATTCTCATAGATCTTTCCTTGTTCCTCTTAGTACATATTCTGTAATTCTTTCAGTAAGTTATTTCTTCCCATAGTACAGACTGTACCTCCCCTCTTGTGCTTTTCTAGGCCCTTACTCTCATTACCAATCTGCAGGCAATTGAGGGAGTCAGTGGAGGGGATTCCAAGGAGGACAAGAAGCATCTTGCAAGGCATTCAACTCAGGGACATGTTCATCCTCTCCAGGCAAAGGAAGACGGCTCTCCTCTAGCGAGGGGGAGAGAGCAGCTTCTACAGCCTCCATGATTCAAGAGCATCCAGGGTTTAAGGTCCTCATACGTATCCTCACAGTTGCCTTCATCCCAAGGCTTGGAGTCCCAGTCTTTCTCTGTCAAAGCCATGACATAAGCATAGATCTTTAACATAGGAGACCTGTGTGTTCAGTCTCCTTTGCCATTCTACTCCTCCTAAGATTAAATTCTGAACCTGATATTTAACACAGTCTGCCCTTTTGCCACAAGGTCTCTTACCTTCTGTCATGGAAGACTTCTGACTTTCACAGAATGCCTTGAGTTGATAGTTGGCTGAACTGAATTTGTCTCTTTCTTTAAGGCATTCTTCAAGGCTTCTAAGGCAGCTTACAAAAGCCGGGCAATTCCACTACTCATATGATTATCATGACTCTTCATTCCAGTAATAGACATACTAGATAAACAAAGCTTCCCCTGCCCCCACATCCTATTCATTGCAGTTGAGAGTTTGGTATTTATGCCAGAGGTATGGACAATACAATTACTACCGACGTAGAGTTTTTGTTTCCGTCTGACTGATGAGTAAACCATTTCCAGACTACTATCCTGAGGGTCCACTTATTTTAGAGTTATATCTGGTATTACTGTCTTAGTTTGGGTCCTCTTAAAAGCAGAGCCTGAGGTTAGGATTTGAATTTACGTAACTTATTTGTGAGATGACTCCAGAAGGTAGGAGGGAGGAAGGGAGCTTATTGAGAGAAGGGAGATGGAATAGTCAGTAAAAGCTATGTTATTGAGCTAACCACCATGGAGGGCAATGGGGCTCAAGTCTTCTGAGGATCCTCTGAGGAACCGTGTAGAACATTCCTCAGAATTGTCCCTCTAAAGAATGAGGGGGGCTTGAGCGTTTATCCTCTGGCATGCCTGCAGGTATTTCTTCCCTACACTTTGGGCTTGCCCTACATGCAGCTATATAAGCTTCCACTGCTTCAGAGAAGGACTTGGGAAAGGAAGTCAGAGAGATGAAGAGGGCACTTACAGTGGGACTCTGTGGGCATGCATGGGAAAGCCCACAATAGCTGCAGCGAAAATCAAAGGGGAGCTGAGTGGACGTAGCACAGGTTACTAAGAGCATCTGCTACATCACCAAAGCCAGTCCCATACACCAGTAAAAGGTCTCCTGGTCTCCTTTAATTAAATGTTCCCATCTCTTCCTTGTTAAGAACCCTAATTTATAAGTCCCATCTATTCTTACCAGAATAACCTTTGTCTCTTCAAAGGCACTGAGAGAGAAGAAACAATCCATGTATTTTATAAAGTTGGTGCTGAAGCTGGGAAAGATCCTAGTGAGAGGAGTTGTATGATTATGTGTTTTCCTGTCAGGGGTGTGTGTGTGTTTAACCTGTGTTAAGTTATCTGGGGAAGATCTGAAGCAAATTCTTGATTGTCCAATCCCTCCATCCTGGCTCCAGAATCTGGTGCTCAAGAGGAAGAACTTTGCTTTACTTTTCATGGCACTCTCTGGGTGGGTCTGTCCCAGAGAAGATGTTAAAATATCCAGATGAGAAATAATAAAGTTTTTTTCTATTCTTTTGTGAACTTTTGGTCCAACTTCTATCCTTCCAGAGAATGGGAAGAACAGGAAGAGAGAAAAGGACAATGAGAAAGAATATTATTAATGTTGTTATCTTTTCCTAGGCTGAGATTCAGTGTGGGAGGGACAGCGCCTTGGATAAATGTTTGGATACACTTCTGTCTCCTCCCATCCTCCTTTAGCCCCCTTCACATACAGCCAACTCTTGCTCCCTCATGTCCCAGCCTGTCCTTGGCATTGGTAAATGTCTGCTGTTCTCAAGGCAGCCCATCCAAGTTCAGAACTTAGAGACAAAGCATTGCATTTTGGCACAGTCTTGCTTGAAGCTCCTTCTCTTTTCTCATCTGAGGATTTTATTGTGTCACCCTGGGGGATGAGAACTGGGGTTAAGAAGGAGGAATTCAGGGAGTATAAAAAGGGGGGACCAGAAGAGGCAATAATGAGAGGAGTCCATTTAGAAAAATTATGTCTGAAGGAACACTGAGGTCAGAACAATGATGACATCATCTTCCATCCTTTCCATCCAGTGGTTCTCACTGTTCTCTCTCACCTCTGCCTCATGACTGGTTTTATTCACAGATTGAAAAGTGCTACTTCCTTTCTCAAAAATGTTTATTCACTTAAGGAAAAGAGTTGAGCTTTCAATTCTCCACCTCTTCTCCTTTCTTCTTCCTGTCCTACTCTCCAATTTCGCAGGCTACCTTTATAAAAAGAACAGTGAAAAGCAAAGACTGAAACAAAATGAGAGCCATAACAAACATACACCTGTAACACAAGTTTTACATAACTGAATTAAGAAGTGAAAAGTTGAAATGTCTTCCTTTGGGTTTTACCCAAAGCAGATTCTGTGACAAGGATTTGGATACGAGTAGTTTATTTGGAGTGATTGCAAGAAGCCCGGTGAGGGAGGGAGGAATTGAGACAGGAAATAGAGGGAGACAGGGCAAAAGATAGTGCATTGTTACTGTGCAGGTTACTGATGTGAGAAACCACTGTGGACCCTCTGAGAGACAGTGTAAAACACATTTGAAATAGACCCAACAAGGGACAAGGAAGTGGGAGTATTTACCCATCAATATCCTTGGCTGAAGTGTGCTCCTGGGGGTTAGCACTCCAGGAGCCCTCAGACAGAGGGATGCTTAAGGTAAGAAGTCATTGGAGGTGAGCAAATTGTCTCCCCAAATGTCTGACCTCGAGGGTGGGCTGAGGGAATGTGAGCAGGGCATTGATGTCAGAGCTGCATATTTTTGTCTGAAAAAGCCACCTGCTAATTTAGCTTTTCTCCTCTCTGTCTTGACTAATTTTTTTAGTTTTCTTAAAACATTAAAACTACTTTCTATATCCTTATTATGTTTTGGTAGGCTCTAGGATAATAGAAATACCGTATAATGTCTCTGTTTCTCACAATGCACTTTCATATCAATGATCTCATTTAATATCAAAATAGTCTTTGAGATAAATATTATTAGCTTCACTTTACTATAAAATTACTTTGGCTAAGTAAGTTAAATATTCCCCCCTAAGGCCATAAGGCAAGTTAAGTTGCTGATGCTCAGACTTGGCTCTTTCGATTCTAACATTGGTGCTTTTCCCACCATACCCACATTTGTCTCCTATAAAAGCATAACATTTCTTGAACATGAGCATGGGATGTAGTATACTAATAATACTTAAATATTAAGTATAAATCATGTTAATGTCCTTTATGTGAATCTCTCATATTCCTATCCTTAGCTGGTGCACCTGGATATATAATAGAAGACAGGGAACCACAATAAAGATACAAATGAAATTAAAGAATAAAGGGTATAAATCCATTATAAATAGAGAAATACTAGGAAGAAACTGAACAATATTCTAACATGGAATGGATGTCAGGGCAGGGCAAAGGAAGGAAGCTGAAGATCATTTTCCCTCCCACATCAGAAGATCCCCCAGAGTTTAATTTTCATGAAAAGAGTGAAGTTGATTATAAACATAAGATATTGGCCTCTTAGGATTTGCTGTAGGCCAACAGTCAGTGGGACTCTTAATTCCTCCAAGTGTGACTAATAAGTAGGGGAGAGAATTGCTGGAGTGAGAATTGTTGAGGTCAAGGAGTTGACTTAGTAGGTGACAATGCGATTTCTATGTTCTCAAGATGGTTGTGGCTTGCCTACATTGAATGCCTAAGGCAATGTTAAGAAAGTACATAAAATTAAGAAGGTGTAGAGAGTGGTCTCTGAAAGTATGTAACATAAAGGATTTCATGTTTCACTGTTGAGTATCCAAAACACCTCTGTCACCCCAGATTAGAAATGCTCAAAGCGTCTTTATACATCAATTCTGATCATAGTAGTGGACTACCTTCATGGAAGACAGAACACAGAGGGAGTAGGTCTCATCTGTGAGATGCTAAAGAGAGCTGGCTCCTTAGAATACGAAGCAGGTAACTTTTTGTCAGCTGAGGTGAAGGGGGAAAATTATCCAAGAAATTATCATACACCAAATACCAAGAAGACAAGAGAAAAGAGGACTGCGCCTAAAATCATCTCTATTTAGAATCAGGCTTACAAAGTAAAGGGAATTATAGCAAAAAATGAGCTTGAGTATGTCTCAGGAAAGCAGAGAGCTATTAACCTGAAGAAAAACTTGATTTTGCAAATATCATTAAGAAAAGGGGAAGAGTAGCAAAGTCAGAGAAAAGCAATATGAGCTCTAAAAACAGGTTTCAATCAATGCACTTGCAAGGAAATACTGGTGAGAGAGTATAACAGGTCTTGGTTTCCTACACAATATCCATTCTACCCTTATTCTCTCTTAACAGGACCCCTATTTTGTTTAGATACTCATCTATCCTGCATGTGATTCTGCAGTAATCCCCAGCTCAGAGGTCAATCCTAATTGATCTGAGTCAATCATGGTATTTCTATTCCCCTGCTAGGAACTGGTTTATGAGCACGTGGTTCAGGGACCCGCTTCTTACCCGTGAAGAAGTGAAGGCTTCTGGGTAAGGCTCCCTGTGCTAAGACACAGCCCCTCTTCTGTCTCTGGACCTTGCTGTGTCTGTATGTGATGCCTGGAACTGCTACACCCTCCGCATTACCACACCCGGCATGAAGCCAGGACACACTACTCATGGTAGAGTGGAGAGATGGAAAGAAGCTGGTTCATGATGACATTGGTGAGTAGCTGTATCAACCCCCTGAAACCTGAATGCTCTAGGACTTCCTGATATATACATTAATGAATTTCTATTATTTAAGTCAATTTGGCTGAGGGTGTTTTGTAACTTGCAACCAAAGACACCTTAGCTGATGTACAAGCGAGAGCAGTGGTGGTAGATCTTCCAGCCTGCAGACTTTGCCCTCTCAATTATAGAAGAGGAGCAGGACAAAACTCGGAGGCTGCAAAATAGTATATGTCCAGTTCATTTGTTAAAAAAGATTCCAGGAAAGTCTACTTCCAAGAAATCAAATCCATGTTTTCCTGAAGCAGGAAAAAAATGTTTTTAGAAAAGAGGAGGAATGTTAGTTCTTTTCCAGTAATAATGCATTGTGCCATATATTTGAAAATGAGGATAGTTTTTTTCTCCTCAGATTTACTGCAACATAATTGACATATAACATGGTATATGTTTAAGGTGTATACTATAGTGATTTGATATATGTATATATTGCAAAATGATTACCACAATAAGGTTAGTTAACACATCCATCATCACAGTTACAATTTTTTTTTTGTGGTGAGAACTTTTAAAGTCTACTCTCTTAGCAACTTTCAGTATACAATACATCATTGATAACTATATTTACCATGCTGTACATTACATCCCTAGGAATTATTTTTCTTATAACTAGAAGTTCATACTCTTTGATCACCTTTATCCATTTTCCCCACCCCCTACCCCCTGCCCCTGGCAATCACCAATCTGTTCTCTGTTTCTATGAGTTTGTTTTTTTTAGATTTCACATATAAGTGAGAGCATTCAGTACTTTTCTCTCTCTATCTGACTTATTTCACTTGCATAATGCCCTCAAGGTTCATCTGTGTTGTCACAAATGGCAGGATGTCCTTTGTTTTATGGCTGAATAATATTCCGTTATATACATTCATTTTTATCCATTTATCCATTGATGGACACTTCAGATATATATCCAGAAGTGAAATTTCTGGATCCCATAGTAGTTCTATTTTTAAGTTTTTGGGGATCCTTCATACTGTTTTCCACAGTGGCCGCACCAATTTACATTGCCACCAACAGTGCACAAGGGTTCCCTTTTCATCACATCCTCGCCAACATTTGTTATCTTGTCATTTTTTCTTTTTTAGAGATTGGCTCTGAGCTAACATCTGTTGCCAATCATTTTTTTTCCTTGTTCTTCTCCCCAAAGCGGCCCAGTACATAGCTGTATATTCTAGTTGTAGGCATAGGTCCTTCTAGTTCTGCTATGTAGGTCACCACCTCAGCATGGTTTGATGAGTGGTGCTAGGTCCTTGCCCAGGATCTGACCTGGCGAAGTGCTGGGCCACCCAAGCAGAGCGTGAAAACATAACTACTCTGCCATGAGCTGACCCCTCTTGTCTTTTTGATAATAATCATTCTAACAGGTGTGAGGTGATATTTCATTGAGATACTGATTTGCATTTCCTTGATGATTAGTAATGTTGAGCACTTTTCATGTGCCTGTTGGCTGTTTGAATATCTTCTTTGGAAAAATGGCTATTCAGGTCCTCTGCCCATTTTTAAATTGGATGATTTATTTCTTTGCTATTGAGTTGTATGTGTTCCTTGTATATTTTGGATATTAACCTCTTATCAGATATGTGGTTTGCAGATATTTTCTTCCATTCCATAGGTTGCCTTTTCATTTTGTTGATAGTTTATTTTGCTGTGCAGAAGCCTTTTGGTTTGATATAATCCCACTTATTTATTTTTGCTTTTGTTTCTTGTGCTTTGGCTGTCGTATCCATATCCATTGCCAAGACCAGTGTCAAGGAAATTTTCCCTGATGTTTTCTTCTAGGATGTTTATAGTTTCAGGTTTTATATTTAAGTCTTTAATCCAATTTGAGTTAATGTTTGTGAATGGTATAAGATAGAGGTGTAGTTTCATTCTTTTGCATGTGAATATCGAGTTTTCCCAGCACCATTTATTGAAAAGACAATCTTTTCTCCATTGAGTATTCTTGGCTCCTTTGTTAAATATTAGTTGACCATATATGCATGAGTTTATTTCTGACTTTTGATTCTATTTCATTGACCTATGTGTCTGTTTTTGTGCCAATACCATACTGTTTTGATTACCATAGCTTTGTAATATAGTTTGAAATCAGAAGTGTGATGCCTCCATCTTTGTTTTTCTTTCTCAGGATTGCTTTGGCTATTTGGGTCTTTTGTGATTCCATATGAATTTAGGATTACTTTTTCTATTTCTGTAAAAAAAAAGCCATTCGAATCTTGATAAGAATTGCATCGGATCTATAGATTACTTTGGGTAGTATGAACATTTTAACAATCTTAATTCTTCCAAATCATGAACATGGGATATCTTCCCATTTGTTTCTGTCTTCTTCCCTTTGTTTCATCAATGTCTTATAGTTTTCAGTGCATAGATCTTTCACTTCATTGGTTAAATTTATTCCTGAGTATTTTGTTGTTTTTGATGCTATCGTAAATGAATTGTTTTTTTTTCTTTTTTGGATAATTTGTTGATAGTGTATAGAAATGCAACTGATTTTTGTATAGTGATTTTGTATTGTGCAACTTTACTGAATTTGTTTATCAGTTCTAACACTTTTTTGGTGGAATCTTTAGGATTTCCTATATGTAAGATTATGTCATCTGCAAACAGAGACAATTTTACTTCCTCAATTCTGATTTGGATGCTTTTATTTCTTTTTCCTGCCTGATTGTTCTGATTAGGACTTCCAGGACTATGTTGAATAGGAGTAGTGAGAATGGGTACTTTGTCTTAATCTTTCAGCCTTTCACCACTGAGTATGATGTTAGCTGGGGATCTGAGGATAATTTGCAAATATTCCAGATACCATAGCAAAATAAATGAGGGAAGTATTGATTTTCAGGATGTGGAATCTTTAGGATGGGAACTGTAAATATCTTGAGGGCAAGGTTGATGTCTCAGATTTGTATTCCCAGAGTTCAGCATAGTGCCTGATAAATAAAGGCTTGTCAAATAAATAATTTGAAAAACTGGGAAAGTTTGGCAACATACAGATAGCATCCAAATGGTATACACAGAGAGTATGCCTGTAAAGATTCCAAGAATAGGATCTGAACTGTGCAAAATTTCAAGTTGCCAAAACTCACCAGGACTTTCATTATTTCATTTTTTTAATGATGCGTGCTTTCAAAATTATAAATTCCATTTTATTTACATGTAAAAAGTACACAGCTCTCTATTCCTGAAGTGTGGACTACACGTTTCTTTCCAAAGAGCACTATAGAAATAAGGGAAAAGAGTAATTTTAGAGTACAGAAACTGACAAACATTACCTCAGCCAGGTGGTCAAGGTCAACATTAACATGATAAGGCATTTCGATAGAATGTACCCTTGATATGATGTGATGAAGTGGCACTTTAGCTCTGTGGTCTTCCTCCCTAAAACTCATAAGCCCAGTCTAACTATGAGAAAAACATAAGGCAAATCTCAGTAGAGAGATGTTCTACAAAATACTGACCAGTACTCCTCAAAACTGTCAAGGTCACCAAAAAAAAGGAAAGTCTGAGAAACTGTCACAGCCAAGAAAAGTCTAAGGAGACATGATTATTCAGTGTAATATAGTATCCTGGATGGGATCCTGGGACAGAATAAGACCATTAGGTAAAAACAAATGAAAACTGAATAAAGTATGGACTTTACTTAATGATAATGTAACATACATTAATATAAAATGTTAATAGGAGAAACTGGGTGTGGGATGTTGGGAACTCTGTATTTTCTTCAGAATTTTCATATAAATCTAAAATCGTTCAAAAAATAAAATTTGCTTAAAAAATATATGGTCTACAAATATTCAAAACAAAAATATTAACTTTCTAGCTGTTTCCTGTATTTCCAATAATTTCCATCTGATACAAAGCTGTTTTTGCCCTTTCAATAATAGAAATAAACATAAAAGCATGTTCACGTTATAATCTGTACTTTAACAGCAAATATCAAGTACATTTATTGCCCAGATACACAGCAAGTTATTTGGCAAACATTAATTTTAATCAACTGTGTAACTAACCTAAAGACATCAGTCATGAACAGCCAAGTGTCAGCAAATTACCAAGGCTGTACTTAAACAAATTGCATCACTATCCAGCGTCAGAGAATTGTCTTGGATTTTTGGCTTTTTATAAACTATCATTTGTGAATTGCACATTACCAGGAAGAGAAATGCTGTTAAAAAATCAAACTGACTTATTTGAAAAGGGAACATATTAAATAATTTATATAGCTATTACTCAGAATGGGACCTTTTGTCTTCTCATCTGTTTTGACAGTCTTAAGATTTTGAAAAAAAGCAAGCCAAGTATTGACTATGCCATTAGGTTCTTTTTACTAATTTAACTTTTACAATTAGAGCTCATAGGAATTATTCAGAGTAAACTCAGTGTATCCACTTAATTGCTTGGCTCTCATCTTGGTTTTGAGACTAATTAACTGGACAGACTTTGGTAAATTACTTAACCTTTTTGTGTCTCAGTTTCCTCATCTCTAAAAAGGGCGAATAGTAATTATCTCATATGATAATATGTAAACTAATAAGGCTTAAAAAGTATTTCGTAGCTAAGGTATAGTTCAGATTACTAAAAGTTCTTTGTAAATGCAAACATTCACTGAAAAAACTATCGGAAGTTACAGTGAATGGGAAAGATTCTGTAAGAAGAGAGATTGGTAATTGGGAGTAACTTTTTCCAAAAATGAGAAAAAAACCTATATACATTTGTTATACTAATTTATCCAGGTTACTCACTTCATGAAATATTTTTGTAGGCCATATATCCCTTTCACAGCTCTCGTGGGAATATCAAAATTTTGGATAAATCTATTATCCTAAAATTGTAATAAAAGTTAATTAATAGAAAATGCCACTTGACATACAGTAAACATTAAATGTGTGAACTACATATGGAAAATAATTTCTGCATGATCTCAGTCTGCCAAAGCCAAT